ATTTGAGTGTGGATTCAGCATTAGCTATTCACAAGATTGCTGAGGAAAGCTGTTTGCTGGCCGGTCCTGTGGGTTCTGGGCAGGGAACTCAGGCATTTGTCCTAGGGCTGAGGACCCCTGAACGCCAGGCTTTGTGCTTGTGTACTTGTTACAGAAAGCTGGTCACAGCCAGATATGGTGGGGCTTCTGCGCCCTGGGCATTTTCTGAGATCCTACGCACCATACTGATAGCCAGAGACAGATAATAATTCACATTTACTGAGCATTGACTGTGCCAGGGCAGCTGCTATAACTACCCTCACTTTTATAGACAAAACTGAATTTCAGATAAAAGTGACTTAGCCAAACAACCAATAGGTGGTAGAGTCAGAATTCAGATCTAGCTTTGGCCCTAAGCCTGAGCTCCTAACCTCTGTGCCATAATGTCTTTCTGGGTAGCAAGTGAGACATGACCACTGTCTTCCAGCAGCTTATAGTCTTACAGAGGATACAGAGAGAAAAAGGCACCAAAGTGTTTTGGATTTCCTGGTGAAAGTGTCCCATGCTCAATGAGGGCAATAAAGAGGGTATGGGGAGGTCAAGCCAGGGCCTTCTCTCTGTCCCTGAGATCTTGGTGGAGCATTGAGTCAAATTTTATGAACTTAAACCTCCAACCCCACCTTGAGTTCTTTTTGAACTGTGTGGCCTTGGTCAGGTTGATTAGAATCTCTGAACCTTAGTTTCCTCATCTGAAAATAGGGATGAAAATATCTACTTCACAGAGATAGTGTGAGACTGAAACAAGATTAACATATGTGAAATGTTTCACACAGGGCCTGGCACTTAGGAAATATTCAATAAATGGCTATAGTTGTCATTTAAAAATATACCTATGCTCCTGCTCCCTTTCTCTGAGGATCTGAAATAGAAGTGGAGGTAATGAAGCATCTGGACAAAAGCCCCTCTTATTCTGCCCATGCCCCAGCATTACATGCTGGCCACATATGGGCTCAGGGAATACCAGACTTGAAGCTTCTTAGTGACCTGAGCTGACTTCCAGGCTCTGAAATACTGTGTGAGAGCCTCTGAAATATTGGCATTAGCTCAAAGAGCCCACTCCATGGGAGCATGCAGGAAGCCTGTGCAGAAACACGTTCATGTGAGGATGACTAAAAAAAAAAAAAAAAGAAAAGAAAAGAAAAGAAAAAAGAAAAAAAATCCAAATCATCAACAACTGATGAGAGCAATCCAAGAATTATAGAGCACCAGCCATCTGGTCAGATCATTTCAGATCT